TCATACAGGCGGCAGAAATTAGTTTTATTTGTACGTAATATGTTTGTCAAATGTTTTCTTTTGCCTAACAATTGATTTGATTGGTCAAATGTCTGCATTTTAATCTTTTCAGTCATTTTTCAAACAACTGCATTTCCTGCATGTCTTTTGTGGCTGTTTAGTGAATTAATGTGAATTTCTGTGATAATTTCTGTGCAGACTTGTGATCAGTGAGAATAATTTAGGTTTTAAACACTGATATAATTTCCTGATTTGCAGCCGCTGTGTATGTTTCAATATTTATCCTGCATAAATGTGGCACTATGCTTACTTACAAATTGACTTTAATTATTTCACTCCAAACTGTTAGCAGAATATTGTTACCTCTCAATATGGTGGGTCTTATTGAGAGGTAAATACAGCATGTGAAAATACCTAATGCAATAAGGTGTTTATTCAGTTATGTTAAATAGTATTTTGTGTGCGTTTCTTTAGATAAGACAGCGAGACTTTGGTAAAGGGGTCTTTATGTCTTTTGTCCTTGACAAAGTGACACCAGCAGCACCATGAAATGCTTGATCAGCACCCTTCAACGCACTTGGTACCCGCATTGTCAACATACATCAACACTTTATGTATACAGGTTTTTAACCTAGAGCTTCAGTGTTTCCTAAACAAACTCACACAGTGAGTTAAGTGTGAAAAGCGAAACTAAAACACAAAGCTGGTAAAGAGGGCACACATGGCTCTCTCTAGGTGCCCTATTGCAGTTTCTTGAACCAGAGTTTAGAGAAATTCCTGCTTTTATATAAAAGAAAGAGATGTTAACTTGAGCCAAAAACCATGGTTACGGAGTCTGTGAATTTAAGCTGCTCGCTGACGGTTTTCTTCAATACACTCTGAGTCTCTCTCTGAGTCCTCCCCTCCTGCTGCATCTGAGCTACCTATCTGACACTGATTCCTCATAAATGATGTTAATTTTATATTTTTTGTAGTTATGAACATGAACAGTTTTATAATTAATTATTAATGTGGTTTTATTATCAGTCCCAAATAATAATACTGGAAAAATGTGTCACATTTAAGGATTTGAAGATGGTATAGTTTTATTTACTTATTTTTTATTTACTTATTTTTTGAGTGAAGATACTGAAACTTGTTCACAGATCAGATTCACTCATTGCTCATTACTCAATGAGATCAGACGTTTCCAAAGGTAAACTGACTTGAGTGCACATCTGCCCCCAAGTTTTTCATCATTTTGTTCTGCTTGTGGTTTTGTCAGTGGCTGAATTCGAATTTCTAAGTAATTTGAAGGTAAATGAGCTCCTCAACCTTTAGGTCTTTGGGCTTTAAAAAGAAAGAAAAACAGAAATCACTCTCAGGGAGCGGCAGCTACCTGCTGTCACTGGTTGAAGGTGAGGGGAGGAAGGCAGGGCTAACACACACTGTGGAAGAGAGCCAGAGATTATTAATAGCTGATAATTAAATGCACAGAGATTTATAAACACTAGTAACAGAAAAAGGCAACTGAAGAAGAAGAAGGGCCTGAACGCTGAAGGCTATACACTCACATTCTACTTCTAAAAACTCTAGAAACCACAAGTAAGCCTGCAGTCTGAGAGTGAAGTTCTTTAATGGGGTGTTATGGTGCTATAAGGTTATTATTATTGTTATTTTTTTGTTGCCTGTCCCGTTTTTTGCCATCAGAATTATTGTCTAAAGGCGAAGAAAGATGCCCAACGGATTTACTTTACCAAATGGACCATCCCAGCCTTGCTGTAATGGTCTATTTGATTCACCTTTTATTGTTTATTTTATTTTATTTTCACCTGCTAAATACAGGACAGACCTGACTGGGGAAAAGAAAGAGGAGAAAGAAAGAGGGAAAGAAAAACAGCGGGGAAGAGGGACGGGGCAAAAAACAAAAACTAACAAAATAAGCAGACAAAAAATACATATATCAATCACCTGGATCACCTGTTGAGAAAGAAAAAAAGAGAAAACAAACAGAAGAAAAAAATAGAGCAACATAATAAACAACATCACGATGATCTATGGGAATATAACAGTAAATACTAAATATTAAACATTATTGTGCAGCACGTAAGATCGACAGTGCACAGTGTGCTTTGAGGTAGGAGCCAAAAAGGGTGTTGTTTGTGTGTGAGTCCCCGTGTGTACACCCGTGAGCATGAGCGCGCTTGTATTAAAAGGTTCCTTCATGTAATGATCTGCTATAAGGTTATTAAGATAAGATGGCATCTGATTATTCAGCACCTTGTATTTGAGGAGAAGGATTTTAAATTTAAAATTTTTCAAATGTTAAATTCTTCATTTAACAGGGAGCCAATGAAGAACAGCCAGTGTGGAAGAAATCTGCTCTCTCTTTCTGGATCAAGTACTTTTCAGGATGATTTTAGGACAGGCCAAAAGCAAGAAAGCAGTTAAACAACTTTGTATAATGTACACACTGAAGGACATATCCTGGTCAACAATGACTCCAAGATTCCTCACAGTGTTACTTGATGCCAAGCTAATATCATGACCCCTGACTGTAAATGTCATTCCAGTCCCATCGCCAACATTGAAATAATCACTGAAAAGCAATGCATTTGTATGTGTAGATGGACCTGTAATGTGTAATTCTTTACATTCCAGTCATCAAGACTTTGTGTGCCCAAGAGCATGTTTAAAATTAATTAGAGATTGAGCTTTTTTCATAAACCAAACACAATAAAGACATGATTTTATTGTTAGTTCCCAACGAGTCAAGAGCTGGTGTTTTGCAAAAGATGTGGCATCACAGACAGATGTTGGTAAAGATATCTTTGCGCTCTCGGATTTTTTGTGTAACGATAGGGTTTCACTGGGTTTCATATTGAGAATGTTCAGCCCATTAGGTACTCTTAATATCAACATGCAGGCACATGTACATGACTTTTTAACAACCAGTGTTTAGCAAACATAGTCCAACCAGGAATGAAAACCAAAAACCAAGACAGCATTCTTCTGGCAGACAGTTCTGTGATTCAAACTTGAACTAACTTTACAGCAGCGAACCGCAATTTTTTTTTAAAATCTGATGTCAAGTCCATGATATTTTATCTTAAATTAAGCTTTCTCTGTTTGGCATTAATCCCATATTATCCTGTATGAAGTTTGAGTTTGGTCAGATCATTTCAGACTTCAAGCCATAGTTTGTCCACACCACCAATCAGCTGTTGACCAAATACAGTTGGCATGGCTCTGTCTAGAGGAAGTTTGCAACTGCTCTGTTGTGGATAAAGTTTTCAGTAAGCTTGTGTCAGGCTTTTGTGAGTGGCAAGTAAAGGGCATCTCTTATACTGTTAATGATGCATACATATTGGGAGAATATCTGGGCTCCCACACGATTGGTGGGTCTACTGAAAATTTCAGCTCTTGTGAGTATTTCTATAGATACTGTCTAGTTACAAAAAGGTGAATCTAGGTGTTACGACTGTTGTTGTGATTTTAATATGTAAATCTGAGTGTGCAGGTGCTTCTCCATGATTGGTGCATCCAGAGTGGACGGATCATACTGATTGGCTAATGACCGTGAGGCAGCACATAAGAAGAGACCGCCATGGACTGCCAGGGGATTCATCCTCGGCCCAACCCAACCGGCAGACTGTGTTCACTGTTTAGCAATGTTTGTTTAATGTAGGAGCATGTAGGGGTGGACCGCCTTTTTGTTTGAATACAGTTTTCTCCTGTTTTTGTTAGGTAGGGAGGTAAGTCATTGTCGTTTGGTTTAATTCTTTTGAATAGGTAAGTTTGATTTACCCCGGAGATCCCTTTTGTTTGTTTTTTTGGCCTTGGGCTCACCCCCAAGTTATAACTCGCTCCCTTTCTTTGTTTCTAAATTCACTCATTGTAAATAAATCACTGCCAAAAAGTATTATTTGCGTGATGTGCTGCTTGGGGTTGGACAGGGATGGATCACCCTTATGTTATGGTCTGGCCACGCCTAGACGGGCCATAACACTAGGTCTAACTCCCTCGCTTTTGCCATGCGTATTCCTGTTGCATAATGAATCTCTGAATGTTTTGGAGAGTCGCCCTGATATAACAATGCATCATGGAGTTAAAGGTAATGGTGCTTTTAACAAACTGTCTAACTTCCACGTTTGTCAGCCTGGATTGCTGCCATGTATGACATGTGAGCTTTTCTAAGCTGGTTGTAGCATAATAACTTGGTAATACTACAATGTGGTGCTGCAAAATTGAGCTCTGCAAAAGTGCTTGCTCTAGAAAGTTGGTGACATTTTAAACTGACTTTGCGCAATCAAGGAGAAGCAACTTTGTCTTGGCTGTTTATCTAACTAGACCTTCAAATAATCATCAAGTGTTAGTCCACTGGCTAACCTGCTAGCAAGGCACCAGAGCCTCTATAGTTTTGTCACTCCTATCTAATAGTTTGTCAAATTTAGATGATTACTACACTTTTTATGTTATCACCTACCTACAACTCACAGAATACATGTGCTAGTATTCTTAAATTTTGAGATATCCTTATTTGTCTGCAGCAAGTAGCGATCTCTTTTAACCTCTTTAAATATTTCACATGATTAATTCACTGTTACATCCCAGTACCCAACTGGGGTAAGTTGCAACACAAAATCTGTATTTTACCAACTTCTTGGTGTTCATCAGTGCAAAAAAGCACTTGCCTCAGTCAGACATACTCAGTTAAAAAGAAAGACATCATAGGAATCGTTGTTTCTTTTAACAAATCATTTATGCAAGGTCGGGGTGGAAGTTGGCATCAATGAAACTGATCACATGATCTGAGTAAAAGTGATGTTACATCCATTTATCTGTTCCAATCTTCCATGCCACGCCTACAATTCAATGCTAACATGACAATAACAACATCATCACACACATCCAATCCAAATCTGTGTCTCTCTGTTTTTCCTCTCAAAGATCAGCACTGCCATCAGAGAATGATGAGGATTTCTATCAAGTAAAACTGATACAAAAATTTGCTGTTTAGATTTTAATGGTCATTAAAGCATGCAAGTTTAGTTTTTGCTCTTGTCTATGAAGCTTTAGTGTTTGGTAACAGTTACTATCTGTAATTCATACTCATAAACAGGAGTATTGCCTGGGAATGTTGTTTTTGAAAGGTTTGTAAAAGTAGTGTTTAGTTGACTAGAAAGTGTTGGTTAAAGTGTAGTAGTTTGTGGACTAATAGGAGGTGTTGTTACAGATGATGCGATTAATAACTTGATATAATAAATCAAGGTAAACTATCAGAAATGAAATTTACATCAATTCAATAAATCGACTGGAACAAGCGAGGACAAGTGAGTAAAAACTCCACTTAGTGCTTGGATTACATTGGTTGGAATAAAACTTAAAGAAACTTGAAAAAAGTTATTTGTGCAGAGTCAGATGACATTCATGTTGTAACAGTAGAGGGTGATACTGTTGCATCAATCCAGAGTCAGGTACATCTTCAATCTAGAATGAAATTAGAAACAGTTAATTCATATAATTTCTTTTCTTTACATTTGAGATAATCCTCAGATTGATATGTTATTTAGTGATTGGATGATGTGATTCATTTCTTGAATATGTCATAGAATAAATTGTGCTTTGTGTGGCGTTAGCATATTTTGTGAATTATTTGTATGCTGCTACAGAGTTTGCCATAGCCATTGTGTGTGTGTTCATAGTTTTCTGTAGTTCAATCACTGGACATCAACACTACTACTTTTAGCAATACCAGTTGTACTATTAGTACTTAGTGGTAAACAGCAGGTATCTGATGCTATGGTAGAAAATCTGATTATAGAGGAGACTTACCTCTGATTTTATCCATATTCATCTAAGACAAGAGACAAAAACTAAACATCAGAATGATGATCAAAGGGGTTGATTTTGTTTCATTTTAAAAGTTAACAATAGTAATGATAATTTTATGGGCCTAACAGGTTTAAAAAATACACAAAATGTCAAATGTTGACTTAAAAAGATCTTAATAAGCATACACATACTTACATGGAAGGTAAGGCAAGAACAAGAGTTGAAAGGAAAGATCCCATGACCAGGACAACTAAAACAAGTACAAAATGATTAAAGAACTTCTGACCAACCAAATAGACTTTTCATTTAGAAACAAACACAAGATTTAGTCGACCTGATTCGTTGACAAATGCTGTCACAAAGTTTAAAAACTATATCTATATATGGCTTTTAAAGATAAAATAAGGTCTGAGCACTGCCCCGGCAATACAAATGCAATACAATTTTATGAGCAGGTAAACGGCTATAAAGGTGACTTAAAATAAACTCAGTTTTAGTTAGGTGTAGCCTTGTTAGCATTCTCCCTGTTAAAATTCATCCATCAGATATTCAGGAACACAACTGGTGTAGATTTGTGTCAGTGAAAATTGGTGAAGGATTAATTTGAGTATGCTAAATATGTTTATGTCATATTTATGACATAACATAAATTGACATAACAAATATGTCATATTTATGCAATGCTAAATATGATTATTGCCTGTTAACAGCAGAATGAGCAACTAGTAAGTTAGCTGCTGAACGTCAGACTGTTCGATAACTAGCTAACAGAAAATAATTTCTGCCTCTAAGAAAACGGATAAATATGAAGAGAAATTCATTTCTGTTTGCCAGTTGTTGAACTCTCTTGTGTTCACCAACTAACTTGCTAGCATGGTACATTACCTTTTTTTTTTTTAGTCTTAGCTAGAGCTCGAGAACAAATCAGTGACATTTGTAAAGACTCAATCCATGTAGACGTTGTGTTTTCTGTGTCATTTTGAATACTCTGACCAGGGAATAAAATGTAAAATATTTAACACATTTGAATAATCTACAGTGATTTATCCTGTTTTAGCTTTTCAATTCTAATGAATGAGTTTTGCAACAATGTCAAAAATTATTTACAAATACGCAGATTTAGAAACATTTAGCAACTTTATATATTTGTTAACAGTTACTTCCTGGCATTGATACTTACAAGCTGAAGCACTGGCTGGGGCACTACTAACAGGACTATTTCCAACAGTCACGCTGACACATCGAAGGTCTGAGTGATACTTGGTTTCCCTACGGAAATAAATCAGAACGGTGATTATATTATTTCCATGAGATTATATTATATTTTAAGATCGTCTTTTCTGTTAATGACACAACGTATATGTACAAGCAATATGGGTGTGTTTGATTAACAGTTCTAAATGACCCTTAGCCTATGTCCACATGTACACAGGTATTTTTGAAAACGCAGGTTTTTCTATGCATTTGGGCCTTTCGTTCACATGTAAACTGCATTTTGCATTTAGCTGTGGATGAGGAAAACTGAGATTTACTCACAACGTTTTTGGCGTCACGCTGTGTGCCACGTTATTATTTACATGAGATGAATTTTTGCAATGGTGGATATAGACAAAATACTGTTGCTGTTAATCTTACTATGTACAGTTTTTACGCACTTAGATATACACACACAGTTACTGTCCCTCCATTTTAAAAGGACGGAGGAGTCAGAGTGAACTTCTCCATTCAACACAGACGCTCTCACAACCCAAATCCGTTACCATGGTTTTGAATAAATTTATGCATTTTTTTCCTTCCTAGGTTGCTACTCTACACCAGCCAAAATACTGTTAATACTTTGGTTATTAACATTCAAAATTATAAAGGCACTTGAACAGTGGCACATAATTAGCTGCCTTTCCAACTTCTTTTTCCCCCCATAGGCTTCTACACTTGGCCAAATGTTGATTGGCCAACATTTCTACATGATTAGGATTTGGCATGTTCTTGACAGAGTTTGAATGCGTTTTTGGTGTTTTATTGTGGACAGAAGTATTTTTTCAAAACTGTACACGTGTCCACGGGATTTTTGGAAAAAATGAAAAATACCCATGTAGTTGTGGACGTAGCCTTGGTTTGTTGACAGTAAGTAGACTCATACACAGATCTGCCTGATTAAAGCATTTCCTGCACTGCAACTTCCCCTTCTAACAGATACGCTATTTTTCCTGTTTTAGATAGTTTCTTGTTTTTCACATAATCTTATAATCTCTTCAGATAAAACAAAACAAAACAATAAAAACATTTCTAGGACAGCTAAACCTGTCAATCACCAGTTTTGGGCGCAACACATTTCAAACTAATGTGTTATTGTAATCTGATTATATTTTTAACTAACAGCATAATATATGTTACTGTTCTAAATAAGTAGGTAATTAAGGAACATTATCTCTTTTAACAAAAGGAATGAGTAATGCGTAATAAGTTATTGTTTCGAGTCAACATTAAAGTGGGTCTTTGTGTAAAATCTGCAAAATAAAGCATATAGGTCAAACTGTCTAACTAAGGTCAAATTTGTCCTTGAGTTCACCTTTTTCAGTTTAGTAATTATTATTTCAAATGCCGGTAGTGTAGACGGATTCAATGAAAAATCTGTTTGTGAACCCCCACAGAGTTATCTGTTTTTGTTGGCTGATATTTATTATTTTTGAATTTCTGTTGTATTTTACAGCCTGTATATCTTGGTAAGTACAGAAGATGTTCACATGAAATTTTCAGGGCTGAAAAACATGTTTGGGCTCATCTGTAATTTCACACCCGCTCCAAATGTCACGATGTTAAAATGTAACCATATATGACTAAAGCATAAAAGCATCACATCGTACCTTCAACAGCAAAACTCCAATTTATTATCTAGGATGTAGTTTAACATAAACAAACTTTGTTTATGTTAAACCAATAACTTTTTGGTTGGTCTTTGGAAGCAGAGGAAGGGGTTTTGGTTTTTTGGGGAATTTAATTTTCTTGCCATGACTCCTTCTGGGCCTGGGGTCTAAATAAAAAGTCAGATTTAAACATTCACCAATATAGTTTATGGCTGCAAAATTGTAAATGGACTGATTCTTCTTTAGTGCTTTTCTGCTTTATGCAGCACGCTTCATTCACCCATTCAAAAAGCTCTTTTGTCTATGCTTAAGTGCTTTTTGCCTAACACTCATTCTCTAAGGGATGAATTTGTAAAAAGGTACTGACTTGGAAAGTGCCTGGACAACAAAGCAGAAGGGGAGGGTGTCATTGTCTTGTGATTTAGATGGCGTCCATGTCAGGGTGAACTTTCCTGGTCCAGTTTTATTCTGAATTGCATCATATGGTCCGCTGAACAGCAGCTCAGAGATCCTTCAACGAAGAGAAAAACAAAAAATGAATCAACTTAATTCTTATAGCTTCTTCAACTACATACAAAGCAAAGTGTTTGTCTGTGAATGAGCATCACTTTGACTCACTTCTGTTTGGTTTTAAGGGTTTGAGTTAATAAGCCAAATTTTACTTAAACATAATTTCACGAGTTTTTATTTACTCATGTTGCATTAAAGCAAAATAGCCTTAAAACAGATTTGACTTCTCTTTGGATTAAATATGTGTTGAAACTACTCTTTATAGCTCATACAGCCTTGTATATATCTGACTGTGTTACGCTCTTACGTGTCTTGTTAAACCTGTTTTGTGTGCCAGTGCAGGACTGATGCACAGATTAAACAGAACACAACGGATAAAATCTTGATTTGATCAATGAACAGAAACATGACAGGAATCGACTGACGTGTGAATGTATTTCTTGTCTAACCTGAAAACAGTTCTGTGGGACATAGTTAACCTTACTTTACAATGTCAAGAATGTCAAATGTGTTTTTCTTTGACTTACGTGGAGTTTTGTGCCTCTGCACTGATGCTGATTTCCAGAGTCTTATCAACAGGCGTGTAGAGCCGAGCTCTGTTGTTTGGGGTTGGAGGCAAGAATTTGGGCAAAAAGTCTCCCTCTGTGCAGGATGAGACCTGGGGATCCACTGAAAGATGACAGAAAACCAACAAGTTTTTTTTCGGTGTGGAATTCATAGTTCGAAGTTTAGATCAGATCTTTACAGATTCAACTCCATCTATTAAAATATGGACTTGTACCTATCAGAACAAACTGGATCGGTACTTTGCTGAGAGCATCGTTAGGTGTTTGTGTTGTATTTGTGCCATTGACTCCAGTCATGGTGATGTTCTTCATGGGAAAGTCCTCCATCAGCAGCTGTACTCCATAGGAGCCCACATTACTGTCGGCAGTGGGGCCGAACGACAGGGTACAAGTGGACTGCATGAGGAATAAAAAAGGAAAAGAGATCAAATGAGCAAATTTTTATTATTACAACTATCCTTCTGTCTCATTAAACACTAGATTAACAGTCATGCTCACTGATGAGAGGCTGAGGACAGATGGTGGATCACAGCCGTTACACTCTGAGAGTGAGGAGTTTCCATATCTGCATTTAACCTGATCCCCATCAGGGTCAAACATCAGCAGGCTGAAATCTCTCCGACAGTTTGAAGGAACTCTGAGAAAGAATTACAAATACAATCTTAAATTTTCATTTTCCAGGATTCACTTTAGTGTGAAGTTAATGTGCAGCTCCATGCATTCACTCTTAAAATCTGCAAAATACAGCCACAGCCTGATCACTGGAACTGAAATTTTTTTGGTTAAAAACCACACAAGGTAATTTTAAACACAACAATATTCAGTTCACTGTCTCAAAATAAAACTTTAAATTGTATAGTTTATATATTAAGCGAGATTTAATTTAAAGCATCACTAAACTACTTAAATATTACAGCAAACATGGAAGAACATTAAAATTACTCTATAATTTGCTGCCATAAAGAACAACAACAGACAAATAAAAGATCTTTTTAAATTTAAACTTGCCACAGGTATAAAATAACTGCATATTTTCTCTTTGGGAGGTTTCTGACAGGAAGTCTGTTTGTTAAACTAAACTTAAAAGAGATTTTTGTCATTTGGTGACAAAGACGTTAACTCATCTTCATACTCATCCTCATTTTCTGTTTTATTCCTATTTGGAGCCTGGGGGTACTGCAAGAGAAGCTCTTTAAGGAAAGAGTTATAGGATTACAATTAAAACCTTTAAATGCAAAAGCTTCAGTGTGGAAACTATTTTTGGTAAATTATTTTTGTTCATTTAATTAGTTTATTGCCACTCTATTACGGAGGCAGTGGTTGCATTGGCTGTTAAAGTTGACCATGCAGCAAGTTAAACATTAATAATGTTTTGTCTATATTTTTAGACTTTGCCCTTATACTGTGAGCAGTTTTGTCTTCTACATGGAAACAATATCAGATTTGAAGTTTGCAGTAATGCCACAGTCACTCTTGTCCTGCTACTGCTGTTGCTTTTTTAGCAGAGACACAAACAGTGAGTTGGCTCACCTCACAAATGGGATCACGGTAGACTGGGGTGAGGAGTTTTCTTTGTTGATGTCAGAGCGGTTCCTCAGGTCGAATGCTACT